TGATTTTCTATTTTGTCCAGTTCTGTTTCCGGGGCGAAAGAAAACACAGCCGAAGGCTGGAGAGCCTTCAGCCTCAGATCCCACCGACACTCACGCCAAAAGAATTTTTTTAAAAAAAGCCCATCCTTTTTTAAAGCGTGAAATTGTGCAAAACTCAGAGCCACCTCGGTGGTTCCCCACCACACACACACACACACACACACACGGGCACATCCAGCCCAGACACTTCGGCCCACAGCGGATGGGGCTGCCCTTCGCGTGGACTGTCTCCCGGTAGAGATCCGGAAGCCCTGTTTCGTGACTACTCAGTCCCTCCACTCCCGCGCTCTCTTCTCCCCCATTTCATCTTTGTCGTCGCAGCGATCTACCCACCTTCCTCCCTCTGCGATTCCCTGCGAATCGGCGCTACTTCCCTAGCCGAGCCACCGCCTCTGTCGGGTCCCGGGACGCGGCCAGCCCGGAGCTCCAGAAAGGCACTGGAGAAGGCCTGGGGCCGCGCTCTCCCCGGTACAGCGTAGAACTATCCCCCCCCCCCCACACCCCACCCCAACCCCCGCCCGCTCACCTTGGGACCTCGCAATGCGAGTCGTCCCCCACCCCCACCTCCGCCGCCTGACAGTTTCCAGGCTCCGGGCGAAGCGCGTGTCCGTGTTGTCACCAGATCCACGAGGGCTTTTGATGAGAGCTGCTTCCCTTTTGAAAACACCATTCCCTTTCCCCAAGAGAAAAGGATCTATTTTCCTGGACTGGTTTAAACACACGCACATACGAAAAGTATCTGTGCTGTGAAAACATCAGCCTTTAACAGTTGTCTTGGAGTGGAGTAAAGACTTTCAGGAAATGATGGAGATAGGCCTGCTCAAGTAACCCGTCCCCCAGACTGTCATTTCTCTGGCTACCTCTGCTCTTGCCTGGCCCTCTGCATCATTTTTTTTTTCCTTTTTTTCCTTTTCTGAACGCAGTCTCTTCCTTATTTATGCCTTTATCTTAAAGAAAAGATCCCTGGAAATAACTACCAAACCAGAGGAGAGGCTCTCACCACTCCCGGTTTCATCAATTAGGGGCACAGGCTGGCTAGGTACCAGGAGCATCTTTGAGCCCAAGTCTACTCATCTGGAAAGAAATGCTTAGAAGAGGTGAATTCTAAAGGCTGATTTCCACTCTTAAATTCAATACTTTTCAGACACAACGTTTCTTCTTACTTCTGAACTATTGAAGATATACACGTATGTACATTCCAGGAAGGTTCTGTGACAAGGTGCAGATGAAGGGGACATTTTAAACTTGTGACGGTACCCTCTTTGGCTGCTTCCTCCCAAACCAGCTTTTCCCTCTGAGTGCAGAAAGAGAACACCAAGGATAGGTCTCCTGAACACAGCCAACGTCTAAGTCCACTTGTGGTCACATGATTCATTAGGAACCTCAATCCTCATCTGACCCTGCCAATTCAAGCACGCCAGTGAAACCCCATAAAACCAGCCAAGAGGCTGGCCAACATATGCACACATTAATTAGAGTTATGTGGGCCTTTGGCTTGCAGCCTGATGAACAGCTCCAGGACTTCAGGGGGCAAAGGGTTTGGGGTCCTTTTCACCTACCAATGCCCTTTGGTCCTGCCACGGCATCAGATGAACATGGTGGGTGATCTGAAAGCCAACCCCCTGAAAGTTAACCACGGTCACTAAGAGTAAAACCTGGCAGTGGGTCCCTGCAAGGGACAGGCAAGAATTTGTTCAAAGAAGATAAAGAAAATCAGTAGTGAGCTTGTTATTACCGCATCTGGTTTCATTATGAGAGAGAGAGAGGGAGAGAGAGAGAGAGAGAGAGAGAGAGAGAGAGAGAGAAGGCAGGGGAAGCCCAAAGTGAAAGAAAAGAAATTTTTAGCATTTATACACTTAACCACACTCTCTCTGAACACACACACACACACACACACACACACACACACACACACACACACTGTAATGACTCTAGTTTATCAAAAACCTGAAGAGGCTTCCAACCCCATTTACAAGGATAATGGAAGGCTTGGTGAGGAGGAGCACGTAGGCTTGAGCCAATTTAGCAACCACAATTCTGGCCAGGTACCAGAAAGCCACAGAACATCCTAGATAGCCGAACTGGCTCCATCCCTGGCAGGGGGCCCCACGCATTGTACTTTTCCTACAAAGGGTGTCCTTTTTACTCCATCCACATCTGACTCCTTGATAGAGCACGGTCAAGGTCAGTCACTGCCAGCCAGCAAGACCTCTTAGGCTCTCTGAGCACTGCACTGATATATATCTCTCTGCTTTGTATTGGGAGCGATCACCTCTGGCTTTATCATCGTCTCTTGTTGAATTGTAAAGGACAAAATGCGGGGGGTCTCTCAAGTCTGCAGCTGCTTACTTATTACACTGCAACATGTATCTGTTGTTTTATAATATGTGTGCCCGTCCCAGTCCCTTTCCCCATTAGTTATAATCCATACAAAATATCTACAGGCTAGAACATGGCAAAACCTCTCTTATAGGGGGAAGGAATTCATTACTTATCTGACGCGTAACAATTTAGTCCTTTCCAATTCATGTTCCGATGTGTTTTCCTCCAGCGATGAGGAGCCATATCCCCACAACTCTAGAATGTTATAACCTCACTATTTCTGCTTGCTTTTCTTCCTTCCCTTCTTTCCTGTTTCTTTATTCTTTGGACTCAGCCACAGAGAAAAAACAACCCAGTTTGGAGCTTTAGAAATCGTTTGTTCTGCATGTGCCCCGTCTTTTCCTTCCCAGATACTTTTAATTACAATCAGGAGGCATCTTACACCCTGGCCAGATTGTATTCGGTTTGAGCCTCTTTAAAGTTCTTCAAAGCTTCTAGGGGCGCCTGGGTGGCTCAGTCGGTTAAGTGTCTGACTCTTTGCATTTCGGCTCAGGCTGTGATCTCACAGCTCTTGTGTTCCAGCCCCACGTCATGCTCACAGTGAGGGACCTGCTTGGAATTCTCTCTCCCTCTCTCTCTGCCACTCCGGGTGTGCCCCCTCTCCCTCTCTCAAAATAACTAAATAAACTTAAAAACACAAAGTTCTTCAAAGCTTCCAGGGATCTCTCCCCACCCCACCCATCTCAAGCCCTCCAGATCAGCAAAACGGATACACATGTAGTAACGTGCATCATTCTAGATCCATAGAGATTATATTCCTATTTGCTTTTCTATGGATTGGGGAGCTCAGGAAAGATATGCAAGAAATGTACAATGGGAGAAGCACCTGGGCAGATATTGACAGTAAGACTATTCACGTGTGCCTTTTGGTATATTTTTGAGCCATGAGAATGTACTGCATAGTCCTTAAAAATTAACCTGATCAGGACATATATGAGAGATGCTAGATGCTAAATATATGTAGACATAATATCACATATTAGGGAGGAGGATCTAGAGGAGATCTAGAAAAACATGCAATAAACTTGCTGTTTTGCTTCATGGGTCATAAGCTTGAAATAGGACTAGAAAATAATATTTTGTGCAGATGTATGCAGAAGTATAAAACTTTAGGTGAGCAAAATGCACAGTACTCGTCTCCTCAAATATTCCTCTCCTATTCCCAGATGAGAATATTTGTCAGTTTAAAGCTATTTGCTCCTCCCATTAAGTCAGGTTTCACATACTTGTTAGACTGGCTGAGCCCTCAGTCCTAAGTACAAAGGTTAAGCTAGAACACAACCGAAAAAAGACTGAAATTTCCTAATAGACACTTGAAAATGGACAATTTGCCTCCCTTGGATGAAGAGGACAAGATCCTTCCCTGGAAATGGCTGCCCTCGGTGGCTCCCCCTCCAAGCACACCCTGACAGTCTTCTGAGGTGGGCTAAACACCTTGTCCTAGGACGTCTGCTCCTTTCCCTAGGCTTTAACCAGGTGCAAAAGTTTTTATTAGGCAAATTCTACGCAGGAAACAATATTTTCAGGCTAAATAATAATAAAAAAAAGGAGAGTATAAATTCCTTTAGTGATGTTAACACAACCAACCCAGTCCACCCCCAGGTCCTTAGATGGCCCTTGAATGCCATAAAGACTTGAAGTCCAAACTGCCATGCTCTTTAAACAATATTCAAACAAACCACTCCACCCTACTGGGGGATGCAGTTCATCAGCTAACATTAGTGTTTACATCTCCTGCGGTTTTTCTTGTTGCATAGTCCCTGCTAGTAAACAACTGAAACCAATCTCATGGCAAAGGTCAAATTGCAAAACAAAAGGGGCTTTTAAAAACTCTTATTTCAAGGTATGGTATATAGAAAACGAATAGGGAATAATCTTAGCTCTACCCACCTGTGTTGATAAACAAATCCTCCCGAAACACAAAATCAGATCACCTTTTCCCACAAAAACAGGTGGTTAACTACGTGATTTCCAAGGAGGTATTCTTTTATTAGAAATCAAGAGAGATTTCAGAAGATGGACCAGGAGAAAGAACTGGTCAATGTTTGTGAAACCCCAAAAGGTGGCATTTGGGGAAAGGGGAGGGGGTAGGAAGGAAAGGGAAGGGAGTTGAAAGAGCCCTTGGTTTCCCCAGCTGTTCCCAGAAGTTGGAACATATGGTGCCAGGGCTTTCCAAAGATGGCAAGGGATAGGCAGTAAATTTTTTTCCCCCCTAAGGCATGCCTTTACCCAAATAAAGATACATCTTCAGGCTGGAGACATTTCTTCCTTCCATAGTGGAATGGGCACAGGTCGCTTAGAACCAATTCTTATCATTTAGTGAAAATAATAGTGATTATGGAAGCAGCAGAAGGAGTCAAGGTGTTCATGCTAAAAAACTTCAAGATCAGGCCTGGCCCGGAGTGGAAATATCCAAACTGGTTCTTCATATTTCACGTTTTATAGACAGAATTTTCCCTAAAGGATATACTTTCATTAGGTCATAAATGCACCAACAGAGGAAAGAGAGCGCAAGAGGTGTGTGTGCGTCTGCGTGTGTGTGCGTGTGTGTGCGTGTGTGTGCGTGTGTGTGTGTGTGTGTGTGTGTGCGCGCGCGCGCGCGCGAGTCCGGCGGCGGGGCGGGGGGGGGGGGGGGTTTGGGAGGTAGGGTCTTGGGGCGGAGGGGTATGCCACCCCCGAGGAGAGCAGAGTTCAGGGACAGGCGAGTAGAAACCATCCTCCGTGAGGCTTCCTAGGGCTTCTGCTTCGTTGTTTTTAGTTCTTACATTTCTTTTGGGTTCCACCGGAGCACCTAATTGCCCCAAGTCCAAGTACTTGCTTGCCTAAAGACCACAAGAAGTGGGATGGGGGAGAGAAACGTGGTTTTCAGAAGTTCATTACAAATTTAACTCGTGGAAGATTTTTAGTTGGGGCCTCAGTACCTGAGCCTAGGTGACAGGGAAAGAGGTTGTCTGACGACTTTCGGTTCCCGCTGGACCCCATTCCTGGACTGGAAAAGTTTACCTCCCCCAACATCCAAGAGATGCGACTCCGTGCTCTCAAAGGCGAGGGCTCGCCTCGTCTGCGGCCCCTGCTGCAGTCAGGAGAGAACGTTGCAGACTGGGATTTGCCCTGCCTCAGCTTAGCTAGCCACGTTGGTTTCTTCCAGCACATTTCTCAAGAGTGAGTCGGAGTTATGCAACCAGCATCATTAGCCTGTATCGAGTCCCAGGGAATACTTAAATCCACGGCACTGATTTCACACCTAGAAGGCTGTAGAAGTTTCGAAATTATTGTAAAACACCACCCGGATGATATATTGTCTGTTTAGGCCAGATTAGCAAGACACACGCGCGTACTCTACGTTTAAATCACACCCCGAAATGCGGAAACGATGTTTCTATGGGATCTACACGCGACAGAGAAAAACTGGAACAATTAATTATTGCTCTCTTTTTCGATTTCCTGTTTGTAAAGAAAGCATTGGTATCAAGGACGAGTTAGGTAATGTGAACTAAAGAGCAAGCAGGTCGCTGTCGTTTAGACCTAATCACAATTCGTAGTTCAAGCAAAACTGCCTCTGACACCGTGTATATTCCGCTACTCCTCTCCGGCTGCCCCGGCAGGGACGCCCCCAGGAGTATTTATTCCTAGGGCTGGAAACAAAACAACTAACCCGGTCTGCTGCGTAAGAGAGCGCTCCAAGATGGACTGCCGGAGAAAGGCATTTTGACCCCGCTGGAAATTACTCATATTGACAGACGCCCAGGGAAGGTAAATTACCCAGCGCGCTGACGTTACGCAGAAGCGCGCCCTGTTGCGACTCCGCCGCGGCGCCCAGGGGCCAGAGGCTCCTAGTTCGCTCCCCCAGATTCCAACAAAGCCTCGCTTTGCTTCGCTGGGCCTGGGATTTCAGCGTGAAGGCGACGGAGAGAGCGGTAAAAAGGTGCCAGAGAGGAATCGGGCGAGACAAAACCAGAAAAGCAATGGGAAAGAGACGTTCTGCGCTGTAGCGCAGGAGAGCTGTTGAGCCGGGGAGAAAACCAGCAAAATCCGCAGGGGAGGGAGTGAGGGAGGAGGCAGGGAGGGAGAGTACCGCGCAGCTCTGGGCTCCCAGGTCCGCCACTTGGGAGGTCCCGGCCCCAACGCAGGCCGGGCCAAACGTCCCCCCGGGAGGCTCGCTGCTCGGGCGGGGTCACAATTACACCTCGGCTACAGGCGAGGACTTAAAAACCAAGTGGCGGGGGGCTGCAGTCTGGAAGCAAGGCCCTGCGGTCATCAGAGGGGGGCCGGGCCAGTGCGCAGGAACTTTTTACAAGGCGTGTGGGTACGAGGGGGGAAAAAATCAAAATAAACCACTTTCATCCAGCGTGGGCCGTGAAAATAAAAGCTGCCTTATAAAGGGGGCGAGCGGGAGTTTTGAAATTTAGTGTGTGTTTTGCTTTTATATAAAGAGTTTTGTGGTTTTACCTGATAACCTAGGGGGAACTGTGGGGGAAATAACTGCTAGATTTTTTTTTTTATTATTATTATTTCGGAAGAGGGCTGCAACAGGAGTTCACAGGTTTCTCCCAAATTAGCTTGTGTCCCCAAACTGGAAACAACTGCATGTGTCCGTATAGATCATTATACAAATTGGGGGACAATACTCGCGTGACCGGATTATTGCTGACGTAAAGCGGGATCCACTGGTCTCACCTCTTTTCTTTTTAAAAGTGAGTCTTGAAAACTGAGTCTGCAGAGGAGGCGGAATGGAAAGCGTCAGAAAGTGTAACATCTCGTTTTTACTGGCGATTGGACTGGAATCCTTCTCTAAGAGCAACCCGCATGGCTACAAAATACCCTGCTCAGGGCGCAAAGACCAGGCGAAACTGGCCGGGCGGCTGCAGGGAGGGCGCCCAGCCAAGCCCGGCTCTGGCCCTTGGCTCAAAGAAGGGGACCTGACAGCCGGTCCCCTCCTGGGCAGGGTAGGGCTGGGGGAGGCGGCTACCTCGTCCCGGACTTGGGCCTCGCGTCTGCGGTATTTTTAGCTTCTCTCTCTGGGTTCCCTAGAGGCTCTTTTGTAAACCGAATGGAGGCTCTCCAAACTGCCCTCACTTGGAGGGGGTGTGGGAGTAGGTGGAGGCGGCTGCATGGGTATTTTGAAGGGGGAAAAAATTGCTTACGTTTACATTAAAGCCAAAGTCTCTAGGTTTTTGTCTTTACTGCCTTTTCTCTTTTTCACCCCCCTCCCATCCCAGGCCCATGGGAATACGCCAAATTCCATACCCCATACCGTGGGGGTATGCATGGGTAGGATCTAGACATTTAGAGCAGAATCAGAGTGTCGTGCGCCCTTCCTCTCCGCCTTTCATCCCGGCTTTCCCGACCACTACTGCTCCCGGGAGCCGGCCTAGGAAACCTCGGGAAGGGTAGGGAGGAGAGGAGGACTCTCTGTCGCCTTCGAGGAAGCAGGGACACGCGGCATTTGTTTATTTTTTAAATAAAGGCTTATAATAAGTCCAACTGTTTCTGCCACTTAGTTTCCAACCCAGTGTGGGCCCAGGGATGCGAACCTCGAGACCCAGACTGGCAAGTCTCAACTGGGCAGATGTTTATTACTTAGAACTCCAGGTCTCCCTGCGCCCCCTCTCACCTTGGAGATGCCCTAGTCCAGGTTCCCGGCTGGGGTCGCAGCCAAGACTTTCATGTCCCGCTTCTCCCCTTCCCGGATCCGGCTGGGCCCCGGACGGCTCCTGTACCTGGCCTTCACACCGCCTCGCGATCCCTGCAGACAGCGCCACCCCCGCCCCC